GAGCCATTTGCTACTCTTTAAAGTTGTAACTAATGTCAAGTCTGAAGACATGACTTGTTAGGCACCTGTCCCACAGCTGTAGAAGAGAATTGTTGAGTTCCATGTTGCAACTCTGCTGATCTTTGTGGCTGTTTTTGTATATCAGCAGCAGCCCTCGACCATCTTCTATTTATCTGAAGCATGACTGGTGCTTAGCTAGAAAAGCAGGGAAACTCTCAGGATGCACAGGGTGCCTTCATTCATGCCCTCCTAGACTAGATGGCTGGATTTCTTCATGTGTACCTTTCATTCATAGTGGGCCAATCCGAGCCTACATCCTCGCCCACAAGGATGCCATCCAGCTCTGGCGAACACTGATGGGACCTACCAGAGTGTTTCGAGCACGCCACATGGCCCCAGATTCAATTCGTGGGAGTTTCGGCCTCACTGACACCCGCAACACCACCCATGGCTCAGGTGACTGTTTCCCCTGTCTACACAGGCCACAAATAAGGGAGGATATTTGGGATTAGTGGACAGGCTGTATGGTAAGGTTGATAGTAGGATCCCGCCAATGAGCTTTCTGTCTATTTGTGATTCTGGCTCTTTGTAGCCATCTTGGTAAATGTGGCCCATGGACTCTCTACACGCCCTGGGATGCAGTGGGCAGGCAGAGGTAGAGGGTCAGGTTTCCGAACCTAATTGTGACTGCCTCTTGCTTCCACCCAGTGCTCCTTCTCTGTCTCCTCTCCCCTTACAGACTCTGTGGTTTCAGCCAGCAGAGAGATTGCAGCCTTCTTCCCTGACTTCAGTGAACAGCGCTGGTATGAGGAAGAGGAGCCCCGGTTGCGCTGTGGCCCTGTGCAGTACAGTCCAGAGGGAGGTGTCCATCGGGCAGCTGGAACAGGAGACCCAGGACCAGTCTGATGCAGGCCAGTCAGTCTATGAAGACCAGTTGCAAAACGCAGACTTTTCTATTAGACCTCTGGTCCAAAGCATTCTCCTAGTACCAGGAAAGCCTGGGGCTTATGGTACCATCTCTGCTGGGCACCATCTGCCTGAGAGCCTAGCTCTTCTCCACATATCCTCCAGAATCTAACTGTCTGTGTACCTCTCCTCTGGAATGTTGATGGTGGTTTAGAAGGGCAATGACTCCTCTTTTTGCTGAGAATTCTTCATCCTTCTTCAAGAAGAGCTTGCCTAATTGACAAACCTGAAAAATGAAGTGACTCCATATAAACAACATTTGACCTATCTTTCTCAATAAAAATCTATGTTCTACTGAATCCTCCATGTGGCCACATTTAGAAGGTGCTTTCCAGGCTTCAACATTTTGATGTCTCAACAGTATTCAATATTGCCTTATTCTCTAAAAACATTCTCTTCTCTTGACTTTCCTGATCTGCACACATTTAGTTTTCTTCTCTGCCTATTTCCCTGTCTCCTTTGTTGGCTTTTGCAGACATTATTTTCATAAATTCTAGAATAAAAGCATTCTCAATATAAAAATGCTTAAGAGATTTGGTCCTCAAGTTGTTAATTATGAGGTTGAGTAGTCAACCAACTATATAATACATGGCAGAGATGAAGGAGTGTCTTAACAGAGGTATAAATTCAGGGGGAGACTAGAGGGACAGAAGGTTTTACTTTGGCTGGGTAAGGAAGTGAGGGTGATAGATAGGGTGGGAAGGTTTTTACAAAAATATAGCTAACAATGGAACTAAGCCTCAAGTCAAATAGTGTATTGCTAAGAGGGGTCTGAAGGGCTAGACAAACTGTTTTCAGATATATGTGGGTCACTGGTGTGTGTGATCCAAGAAACCTATGGCATTTCTTTTTTTTTCTTTTTAGACAGTCTCACTATGTCGCCCTCAGTAGAATGCCATGGCATCAGAGCTCACAGCAACCTCAAACTCTTGGGCTTAAGCGATTCTCTTGCCTCAGCCTCCCAAATAGTTGGGACTACAGGTGCCCACCACAATGCCTGCCTATTTTTTTTCTTGCAGTTGTTCTTGTTTAGCAGGCCAGGGCTGGGTTCTAACCTGCTAGCCTTGGTGTACGTGGCCAGCGCCCTAACCACTTGAGCTACGGGTGCCGAGCCAGCCTATGGCATTTCTTGTGACAGTACTTTCCTTTCTCAATACATGTATATTTCTCTTTTTGATGGCCTTGAAATCTTAGAGTTGAGAATTTCCTTCACCATCTACCACTTTCAGTAATGGTAGACTAGGAAATTTGGACCCACTAAACATAGAACTAGAAAAACTGTACCATACACAAATAGCACCTATGTGAAAGCACCAAGAAGCAGTGAAGAGTTACAGAACCAAAATCCAGAACAAGAAGGAAACTCAGAGAAGCAAGCCTAGGATTTGGAACCATTTTTCCCATAAGGGTACCTGCTGTTTCTGAAAAAGGCAGATGAGAGTCTGAGAAGCTGAGAACTTTCAACAATCTCATATTAGGGAGATGGTTTCATGGATGCTGGCAGAAGACATGAGATTCCTGCAGCAGAAACCATTGCTGACTGCATAGCATGCAGCATGCCTTCATCTCCCTTGTCCTCCGACTCCCACAGGGGCAACACAGGCAGCCTGACACAGGTACCATGCATGCTGTAAGTTTACATTACATCACAGCTAAGGAACCACAACCTTACAGAGAATATTCTCTCTCTCTCTCTCCCCTAAGGGCATTTGCAATACACAAATCCTTAAGATGGTCATAACAAAATGACTATCAATGTCAATGCCTCTGCCCACAAGACACACAGAAGCACAAAAGACCTAAAGAGAATTGTCTATGAATAAAATTGCCTCTCACTTAAAGGGAAGCAGATTTTTTTTTCTCTATAGAAACCTGGCTCCCATAAATATGGATAGCTAGGGAGAAAACTAGAATGAACCCTGTGGTGTTGGGCTGGAATTGGAGGTATCAGTGTGAATTAATGGTTTTCGATATTTATAAATATAAATATGTATTTGTATGTATAGAGGTGTGTATATTCCCTCGCTCTGACCTGAAAGCAGTGGCACTCCAATAGTAATGAGCACACCTAACACCCAAATCTTGCGTTCTAAATACTTTTGTCTACTAAAAGGAACCAGTACTCCTTGGAGAATATGGCTGATGATGGGGTAGGGAAATCATAAGATAAATTGGAATACTATCTTACATTAGAAAGTAAGGAAGTGGCTCGGCGCCTGTGGCTCAAGTGGCTAAGGCGCCGGCCATGTGCACCCAAGGTGGCGGGTTTGAATCCCGGGCCTGCCAAACAACAATGACGGCTGCAACTAAAAATAGCTGGGCGTTGTGGCAGGCGCCTGTGGTCCCAGCTACTTGGGAGGCAGAGGCAGGAGACTCGCTTGAGCCCAGGAGTTGGAGGTTGCTGTGAG